TGTCAGAACTATGAATGTCGTTGCAAATGTCTGTATTTTAGAACATGCGTTGTCTTTATCGGTTGATAGGAGAGACCGGACAACGAATCCACCTGGTGTTCAAAGACTTTGACCTGTATTTTGGCGGCCTGCAGTACGCTTTTACACCTATTTATCTATATTTTATGCTGTTACCGTATGTTTCTGATCACCAATATGATTATTCAGCTGCCCTTACGACTCTTTGACTGTGTATGATGGTGACTCGAATCAGGCGACGATCATCACCAAAGTCTGCGGCATTCAGCAGAACCTGGAAATATTTTCGATGAAAGAAAATCTTTACATCGAGTTCACAAGCGTTGACCTAACGCAAAACGAACATCGTGGATTCCACATTGAATACACATTCAGCAGGCATTTCGTGGATATTGGTAAGCGTTTTCTTATATCGCTCGTACTTCCTTCGCATTACTCTCGTCATTGACAGACAGTTATATTGGCAACCAGGTTGGAGTGAGTCACTTGCCAGGGAGTGAGTGCGATCTGCGAGTTCAGAGCGTCAAAGAATCTGAACATGTGATAAAGTCGCCAAATTTTCCAAACTCCTATTCGTCCGCCATGTGTACCTACATCATCGACGGGTTTCAAGGAGCGCAGGACTTAGAAAAAGTGTTGCTTCACATCGAGGCTTTTTCCGTGACGTCATATGAAGAGAAGTATGCATGTTTAAAACTTTATATTTTGTTCTTTGGTCAGTTTTTTGACACGCACTACACTCGTGTCCTACAGTAGCCGGATTTTTTACTACAATATTCCGCAGTTACCGACGCTCAGAAGTGCAGCCCTGAATGGAAAAAAGTGCCATCAAATCGTTTCGGATGGCTACCACGAAAGCCAAAGCAGTTCTCACGCTTACTTTATGTAGATAAGAATACATGAATGATAAAAAACTGGTCGTCTGACAGTTTGTGAATTCGTTCAGTGGAGATTCGCTATGGTCAAGAGCAATCTCAATCACAAACTCCATTGTCACTTTCCCTTCAATTTTATAAGGTAGCAATGGGAAGAAATATTCATTTAACACCCGTGAAATTAAGTTCTTTCATATTGCCCATAACTGCGCTTACGATGCTGCCACGTTTCTGAGGGGAAATTATGACTGGCACATTTCTCCGATTTTCAACAATTTAAATTCTAGTTGTCAAAGTTTCTACGGCAAACGTTTCGATATAGGTAGATATATTCTGCACTGCTGTATGCTCATTTTGATGGAAATTGCAAATTACAATAAAAAGGATAAAAGACACCAGGTAGATCATCCAAAAATTCTTTAGTATTCTGACTATGTAACTTTTTCCTTGGTGATTCCTCTGTGCCTACGAAATAGCGACCTCCTATTGCTACAATCAAATCGTTAGTATATCCGAACTGGCAACACTTTGTTTATAATATGCTGTTGATGCAGATATTAAACGACATGAGTGTGATCAGATACCATTTCGGTAGAGCGTTGTGCAGTAGTGTTAAGTAGTTGATTTGTGATATTTTCTCGTCAAACGAAACATCGACTGGAGATCATTGCAGAAAAAAATACTCAACATTTCTTTGCAATTAACCACTTTCGACACTTGTTTAGGCAGAGCTTCATTCTATACCATATCGTACAGTGACGAAAGTTATTCTTCTGATGAATCGACACTGTAAACCCATTTCATTGAATGCTTTCAAGACCAACACGTACTCATAGCTACCTGCCTTGAGAAAGCTACTTCTTCTGTGAGCTGACGAGTATGGCTAACAGTCGTCGTTCTTCCCGGTTGAAAGGAGAGTGCAGAAGCAACACGAATCGTAAGTCATTCGAAACGTCTTCGGGTTTCCAAGACTCAGTGACAGCGATAATTGTGCACGCCGCCATTTCTTATCCATTTGCTGTCCTCATAGTGTCTGAATATGACTTTTCTTTTGATTTGTAACTTTAAGCTATTCAGTCAATCTTGATAAATTTTGCCAGGATCGATGGCTTTTCCGGTCTTTATTTCAAGCATGAATCTTATATCCTTTTTGTGAATATACGGAAAAAGTTTAAATGTTTTAAGTATTTTGCCAACTAATCATAATAGGATGGCAAATTTAAGCATATTTCTTTCCACTGTCTGCTCAATTCATTCAGTTCTGTAGAAGGTTGCCAGCGATGAATCTACTAATGTTCTGTTCCTGGAAGACCGCAGGACATAAGGGCAAGATTTAATTAAGTCCTTTGATAGTTTTATTTATCTGTCGAGTCTCACACCATCCAACAAGTTTAGTAGGTTTGTGCGGAACTCTGCTTTTCTGCCATAGATATTAAATTCGACCAAGAGGATTTTTATTAACAAAGATTCAGATCCACCTGTTACGTAGCCATTTTAATTCTCAGATATGGTCGAGCCTAGAAGAAGATCAATACATTTTCTGTTACTACCGAATTTATGAGGCGAAAGTGCACCGTTCCTTTGCTTCTAGCGGCCAAAAGGACCTTTTGAGCAGGCCACGGCTCCATAGTATTTTAGTCCATACAGTGCATGGATGCAAAACCGCATCACTGGGAAATACCGTACAAAAGCATGTCCAAATATCTACCGATATGCTACTATCCGTAGGCATATCTGTGCATGAAAACAAACATTGATAATATGTATGAATATTCCTACGGATAGTGACTTACCGGCTAGTGTCCGGACAGGATTTTGTTCGGCCTTCTCAAGTGATGCGTTTTGGCATCCATGCACTATAGACGCTAAAATACCATTGAGTCGTGGCCTGCTCAAATGGTCCCTTAGGCTGATGGATGATTGTTTAATTGCAACTTTAATTGATGAAAATTTTCTGACTTGAAAATGCATGATAGTTGATTTTTCAATAATCTAAACTGACACAGGGTTGCATAGATGAAGTATATTTGAACTGGTTAGAATGTCATTCAGAATTATTTTAGGCAAAAACACGTTGTTACTGGAAATTTCAGCGTTTCATTTTCAATATATCATGACGGTTAAATTTCAGTTTTTAAGTGAATGACTATTCCACGTAGGCAATCAGAAACTTATTCACAGAGACCCTTTTTGATCCCAGTTGTTCTGATAATATTGCATGGCATCACCGTTATTTTTCATTATCCGCGTAGTAATCGAGCAGTAAATTCGGACATCAGTTTTATTCTCTAAATCCAACGCAGTGTATATCATTACAGTATGATCTGGTTTTTCTTGTAAATTGGAAATTTTCAGCTGCAAGGATGCATATATGGCGATTTTTTCCTCTGGACAGGACTATACAAACGATACGCCAGATATGAAGTTTTGTTCTACCAACCAGCAGTCCATACCGCACATAATTGAGTCAAATGATGCACGTTTGGTGATCGTACTTCAGACCAGCAACAACTCGAAAGATCAGGGATTCAAGGCTCTGGTGAAATTTGAAACCGGTAATATGAATTTTTCGGTTATGTTCATGGGGACTACGATTCTCGGTTCGTATCTCATTTTTTAATAGGAACAAACTGTTGGCGCTGACCTACAATTATCGTTTGCTTTACCCTGAAACAAAATTAACTCTGCAATTTCACTGAACACTTTGAAGAAACAAACTTTTCGATTTTTTAGTACAACGTCATTTAAAATGTTGGTAGCCAATTGTCTGCGCAGCAGAAATACCTTGCAAACTACGTCAACCGCATTAATGCGCTACTCAGGACTTAAAAAATTTCTGTACTTACGAAAACTAAATTGCAGGTAGAATTAAGCAAATAAATACAGAAACTTTTTCTCTCCTGCTAACCATGGAATCAAAAGACCTATCATCTTCAAGCCATCAGCGGAACGGTATCGGTATGAGCCTTAAAAATTATTTAGGTAGAATAAAAATATATCAAATGTCTATTTATTTACATTCTCTGCCAATTATCATATCGATTGGTTTAGGAAATGATATTCTTTAAGAAACATTCTGAAAAATTTCACACAGAATAAGTCAACGAAATGAGGGTAGCCTGCACAATTATTTTTCAACTCAAATGTGATAAAATAATAATTTCATAAAAAATAAGATTCTTAAAGCGTTTCCATTCTAGATTTTGGTATTTTGGGAACACCAGTAGGAGATACGAATGAATGTGCCTTTAGTTTCAACTCGAATGCAGTTAAACAAGGTGTTTTCAATTCGCCACGATATCCAGAAAATTATCCGGTTGAAACAGTCTGCACTTATATGTTGAACGGACAGACCGACGAAAGAGTTCGAATTGTATTTGATCAGTTCGTTCTGGCCAGTGATCAGTCGCAGGCTGATAAGTAAGTGACCGTAAAACTTGTTCTATACAGTAAAACAAAACAGTGCATAAAGTGTAACGGTCCAAGATATGAACTGGCTACAGAAAAGTCATTCTCTTCCATTCTTGATTGAATTACATATATATGAACCAAACATATGAAAAAATGGTTGACAATTTTGCGTTTACACTATACTTTGACAAAGAGTCATATATAAACGACGGTAATCCGCTTAAAAAATTCACGTTTGGTCATCAAGTGGGATATGTGCAGTCAAAATCTCCGCCTATGTAAGCACAACGTAAAAAAATGTTTCGAATGATGTAATATTTTGAGCTGTGTTCCAAAAATTTTCTTCAAGCAGTTATGTCGTTCCTATAAGTTGCCCGTAACTACAGCTATTATGGCTGGATAAAGTTCTCACGGCTAGATTTTGTTTAATTCGACGATTAGCATTTTATTCTTAGCCAAGCCAAAGCACTTCAACTGCTTAGAATGAGCTTTACATATGCGACGATTTTTTCTCGCAGAAAACTTTATTTCGCGTGTTAAGCACTATGCAACCAACGAGTACATCAATTTCTTTATGTTGACAGTGCTTTAAGGCCATTCTCCAATAGTCCTTGCAACATTTAATATGCTTTTTATTTGTTTCTTGGCACCTTTGGAAAACTTTCCTACCGATAGGAGTTTACAGATATTTACAGATACTTATGCTAATACAGCCTAGACTTGTTTTGAGAATATGATGAAGCGAATTGGCAAAAGCAGTGGAATCGTAGGTGTATATTTGTATATGAAGGGTATTTTCAGGACCAAACAAACGCTGAAAAGCAAGAGAATACCACCTACTGCGAGAACTAAATACAACTAGATAGAGCAAGATAGGATTGAGTGTTGTTACCGAATTGTCTTAAGCTTTTATACTATGCGATAAATGTAAGCATGGTTGCATAAGAAACACATTCGACACCGTTAACTCCTCGACTTCTGCGCTTGTTAATGTAAAAGAACAAAGAATACGAAAGCATGAACTTTTGGCAATCTAACCTGCATAGTTTTCAGTTCGACTGGTATTTCCTAGTTCGGACTAGCGCAACTTTTTAGAAATAAATAGCTACGATCATAACAAGAAGCAAACTGACTCCTGCATCCGTCAGGCCTGGCAACAGATGATACCACTGAACTGTGTTGCAAACCGAATCGAAATCCGTAAATACCCACCGTACCACCTTATGACCTTTGTTCACGCTGCTGGTAGTGGGTAGTAAAGTCAATTAGAATTTTCAGTCATGCATGGACATCGAGAACAGCTAAAGTAGCATAGTCAAGCATACAGAGCAGTGGTCTATAACGTGCCAAATAAACAAAGTCTTTCTACGCACTTCTACCTACTAGTAACCGTAGGTATCTAATGCACATGCATTTGCAGACATGACATATTTGGAATATGAACAATTTTTCATAGTTTATGAAGAATGGCATATTGCAAGCAAATGAGTGAAAATGTTAAATGAACACCTGAAAGATGTAACAGGCGGTGTGCCTAAGGACGTTCGACTGCAAATCATCTTCTCCGGTTACGGGAGACCGTGATACTGTTTGGGATGAAGTTGATGCTCTATGCACTCCATATGCCTAAGAAATCTTTCCTGATGACTGGCTGCGTCTTCATGCCGAAGGCGTTCACTGATAATTTACATCCATGGTCGAAATGTAACATACATTGAAAATACTATAAAGTTGCTTAATTATCCTTCATGCTTCTCAAAGCATTATTACCAGGAAAATGCTACAGTGAAAATTTCTTAAAGTAGCATAGTTCTTTTGAGACATTCTTTGATCACCTTTGCCTCTGCAGAAGCTCATTACGATAAGCCATCATTCTGCTGCAGGACAGACTTGAAGAGAAGATAGGATCTGTAGTGCTTATCATTTGCAATGGGCATTAGAGATCGACGAGAAAGTACGGATAGAAGGACACTGTGGGTGGGACGGCTAATGTTACCATCATCTTGAATTAGTCTGAGGACTCTAGCGTTGATTCCAGATGACCTGTGCCATTAGGACTCATCATTAACAATCGGCTGTCGGCGAACAAATTTTCATGAACCTTCCTGGGACGGGTGTGAAAAATGAATCGAATGAAAGTGTGCAGATGATCGAATGGAGTGAAAGTTTAATCAGATGTTTGAGCAATGCACCAAATTACATTCCAGTTTATAGCCAACATATGTTCTGAAAGCCAAGGCTAAACAGTGAGAAGGAATCACATCATATAGTCATATTAAAACAGCAGGCTTCTCGCCTATGCCTTATCTGACCTATCATAGATGAGCCATGAGTTAGACATCTCAGAAAACTTCCAGTACTTGCTGTTGCAATCGCACACTCACCGATGACAACATTGGCTGTTCAACCGAAGTGCTTTAATAAACCAACCGCCCCTGAAGGAAACCAGTCGTACTCCAAACTCAGCTATCTCTTCCGCATCAGTCATGGCTCATTTTCACAGAAACCTCTAGAGAATCCACTTTTATGTT